GTGTGTGTGTCTGTGTGTTGGGAGGGACAGAAGATGTTGAGAAAGCAATTAGGGACCAGGTCATGTGGAATCTTGAACACCAAGCTAGAGAGTTCATTTCATCAGACAAGAGACATGGGAACCATCATACAGAAGAGCTATGGAATCCATCATATGGTTTTAAGCAGGGGAATGAAAGGATCAGATTTTGTTTTAGAAAGATTATTCTGGCTGCTCTGTACAGGAAGAACTGGAACAGAATGAGACTGAATTTGCTACATAAATTTGACATATTTCAAATACACCTTTTTTTTTTAAAGATTCACACCTGAGCTAACAACTGTTGCCAATCTTCTTTTTTTTCCTGCTTTTTTTCTCCCCAAATCTCCCCAGTACATAGTTGTATATTTTAGTTGTGGGTCCTTCTAGTTGTGGTATGTGGGATGCCACTTCAACATAGCCTGACGAGCAGTGCCATGTACCTGCCCAGGATCCAAACTGGCGAAACCCTGGGCAGCCGTAGGGGAGCGCACGAACTTAACCACTCGGCCACGGGGCAGGCCCCTCAAATACACCTTTGAGCATACAATAGTTTTATCTCACTCTGAAATCTTCTTTCCCTCCCTCAAAACCCCCACCCCCACAGGGCTGATATTCTATTAAAATATAGAAATTCTTCTGTCGGTTGGTAAATGGATAAAGATCCCTAAGTGCCTTTCCCTGGGATCTCTTAGAATGCCCCCAAGATCCAGCAACAACAGGGTGATACCTGGCCTAGCAGGGTGCCTCCAGCACCTGCTCCAGTATTATAGGAAGTATCCTTTCTAATCTGTTCATGCTTGTAGGTTGATAAATATTTATCATATCACTCCTGTGTCCACACACACATGAATGCATTTAAATATACGCCTCAATCAATCTCTCTCTTTCTCTCTCCTCCCCATCCCCCCCAACTCTGCTTACCCTAAGTTGAATCCATCCTTGGGTTGGCCACATTATCAGTGGCAGTGATATTAACCTGGCAACAAGAAACCAATACTAAGAAGAAAATCAGTGGTAGAGAGGGCTGACAATGACTTGGGAGCAATGAGCAGGGAGTAAGCAGACATTTAGGTAGGGACTGCCAGGGATGGGCTGTAGTAAGGGTCAAAATAGAGTCCTAGGCATCCAGACAAAGAGCTCTAGTCACCCCAGAAGAATGGCAAGAGAAGCAATGAGAAACTGCAGTCCAAAAGGACGTGGAGCTGGGAACAGAAAATAAAGCAAGGAATCCAGTTACCAACATTGTCACTTACATCCTATGAGTAAAACCTAGTGAGTACACACTTAGGCTCTGGAATCCTACAACCTGGGTGTAAATCCTATCTCCACCCCTTACTATCTGCAAGATTTGGAGAAAATTACTTGGACTCTCTAAGTCTAGTTTTTCATCTAAAAAGGGGTAATACTAGCACCTAACACATATGGTAATTGTGAAGATTCAAAGAAAAATAATGAATACGGACCTCATGGTACATAGTAAGCTCTCAGTTATTACTTAGTTCCAAGCACATGTTGATGCATCAAAGAACTAGGCAAGAATCCATGTTCAAAACATTGTACAATGATAGTGCAGCAAGTACAGCAAGATTGGCCACTGTTGAAGTGTCAAACTGTTGCCCTAAGTCTTCTAAAAAGCCCTTGATTAGAGACAAGCCTGATTCAAGAGACTGAAGCAAAGCTGACGCCAAAAGCAATTGAGTGGCTTCAGCTGGGGGAAATAAAGAACTCCAGGCTCATCAGTGAACTTTCTGCCTGAGGGGCCCACCAGGTGTGTGATCCATGAATGTAAGCTGGTCTCTCTGACGTAAAAGGTAAAACACTTGAAAACCATCAGAATGAATGGTCTTTAGACAGCACAGAACACGCAATTCAGGAAAGAAAGCAGAAATAAAAAGATTTCAAGGAGGTCAGGCAGAATCAAAATTAGTGTTGAGGTTACCAATTACCAAGAGAAGAATAAGACCTTGAAGGGAAAAGGGAAGATTTTTTTTTAATGCACCTCTTTGAAATCAGAAGAAGCATAAGCCATGTCCCAGAGAATAAAGCTGAACCTTCTAGAGAGAAAATAGCATTCCATGCTTCACATAAAATGTGGAGAGTTAACATTTATTGGGAAGGAATGAAACATTTGTTACCAGCACCAAGAAGACTGGACATACGGGAGATTTGAGATTTTATTAATTAATTACTTTATTTTTTTGGTTTGGAAAATGGAATGGGAATAGCCACACACAGAACCAGTGAGGCTCCTGAGGAGATGTGCTATCTTCCTGGAGGATGTATAAGATACGTTGGAATATCGTGCAGTGTTCATTAAAGTCACCAGTTATCCCAGATTTTTACCTAATTTATGTGAATACTAATGATGCTTTCAGAAGAACTGATAGTCTGAATATTTGAGTTAAAGTCAAAAGATTTGGTGACATAGTCAAATGTTATGATTTTGGAAGATAACAACATGTAGGAAATCAAGACCCAAGCATTCATAACAAGGGGAAGGCTGAGGGTCACTCATTGGACCACGGCCTCCAACATCAGACATGGGTTCTTGGAAGGGATCAGTGCTTATGTTACCAAGAACAGGAAAAATGTGTTTAGTGGGAGCCTTGATGGCCTGATCCAGAAGATTTTTAATTAAATTTGGGAGGAATGTAGAGAAAATACCCTTATACAACTGTAAAACCAGACACTGTGGCAAACCACAAAGTTAAAAAAAAGGCAACAGTTATTCTCAGGAGAAAAATAACAGAAAGTTTGGGGAACAAAACTCCATGGCTTAGATGTATCCCTTCGCAGAGAAGGCACCATAACTACATTCATTTTCTACTGCTGCTGTAGAAAATTGCCACAAACTCAGCGGCTCAAGACAACACAGATTCAGTGTCTCACATTTATGTAGGTAGAAGTCCAACAAGGGTCTCGCTGGGCTGAGATTAAGGTGTCGGCAGGGCTGGGTTCCCTTCTGGAGGGTCCAGGGGAGAGTCTGTTTTCTTGGCTTTTCCAGCTTCTAGAGACCACCTGCACTCCTTTGCTCATGGACGCCTTCCTCCACCTTCAAAGCCAGGAACTTTCCATTTCTCTGTGTCATTCTTCCATCACCACATCTTCCTCTGACCACAGACTGGACACAGTGTCTACTTTTAAGGACCCATGTGATTAGATGAGTCACATACAGATAATCCAGTGTAATCTCTCCATCTCAAGGTCCTTAATTTAATCACATCTGTAAAGTCCCTTTTGCCACATAAAGGAAAAGGGTCCAGGGATTCGGATGTAGACATCTTTGGGGAGACATTTTATACTGCCTACCACAATAGTCACTAAGAATGTCAACTTAGAATGCCAGGGATAAATATACAGGTACCATGGAGACAGAATGTAACTCACACTTAGAATAAAGATATGCAAAGGTAAAATTTATTCAAAAGAAATACGTAACAGGATTAGAAAGGAGAGACGTATGTCCAGAAGGCATCGACTTTCTTTGTGAATTAGAAAGTAGAGACAGTGAAATATTTTTCAGTCAAGATCAAAGATCTTATAGAAAAGGTGTTGTGAGAGTATATTATAGACCTCACAACTGTTTAGAGGATATAAATGGTTTTTTTGTCCAAGGCCAAATTAGGAAATCTAAATGCTCTGTGATCTTCCAAAATGGCGGAACTCAAATATGACGATATCTGCTAAAAGATGTGTCCTGCTAATTGTTGGCTTGCATTGATGAGAATTTGTTCACCCAAAAGAGTGGAAGAAGCAGTTGAGGAACTACTAGTACCGCTTCCTGGTAGGATGGATATGGCAGTGTCACATGAGAGAGAACATTCTATTAAAAACCTTTAAAAGAGGTATTGTCCCACACCTTAAGAAAAATTCAAAATATTCTTATGGAAAAAAGGGTAAGATCTTAAACCCTCTGTAAAACACAAACACACATACACACACACTGATGTTTTTAAATAAAAGCACAAATTGTTTGCAATAGGCTAGCTAGAGAAAATGGGAGACTCCTCAAATAACCAACATGGCTGTGCAAGGATTTCTCATGAGAGTTCATGAACGTTTATTTAGCCCCTATTAGACACTGGGCTGCAAATTAAGGCTGAAAAAACAAAATTGCAAAATGAAGAATGGTGTGGAGCTGTGTTAGCTGTTGTTCAAGTGGCAAAGATGTGGAGATCTTAGCTTACATTCAAGCTCAATTCTAGACAACAAGATGTCACGAGTGACAAAGAATCTAACACAATTTCAGGCTGACCAAAGACCCAAGGAGATTATAGTCCCCCTGAAACATGCTCTGAGCAGCCCACAGCAACAGTCCTGTCCTCAGAAACCCAATTTTAGCACAGTAGACAGTGATATAGGAGAGTCTCATCTTTGATGAAGTGTTTTTCATGTGAAAGAGAGTTGAAGCAGATTGGTATGCACATGATTTGACATGTTACAGGTGTTGACCAGTGTTTGGAAGGCTATTATGTAACAAGTGGACTTGTTGATTCAGGAAGATAGACTAGGAACCAGTGGGTAAAAGAAAGAAAACAGGTTTCAGCTTAGCATTTGTCAAAAATTATATTTGTCAACCTTGGGTAGTAATAAACCCCCAGATTTATCTTATGGAAGAGTTCAAACAGAAGCTGTACAGGCTCTATGAGTGATGCTTTCTGGAGAGTTTCTACTTAAAGGAAAAGTCAAGTGAAAAGACCTCTGGGGCCTCTCCAACTTTCTGACTCTGACTTTCAGACCAAGTCCATGAGGCAAAGGGAAGGTGTAGTGAGACACTCAGCTCAATTTGTATTGAGAACCACAACTTAGCCTTTCAGCTATCCTCTATAATCTCTCTTTACCAAAAAGTACTTCTCACCAGCTATGTTCTCAGTCTTCACTTCTGGTTTCCAAGAGTCAGACTCAGACTTAAATAACTCCTTTTTCTAGAGTTTAATTGGTTCCCATCATAGCTTTTCTGCTACAATAATCCAGGAGGCTTTCTTTTCTTTTCTTCTTTTTTTTCTGGTTGGCTTTTTTGTTTGTTTGTTTCTTGGTTAGTATTAACTTCTACAGGCCTGACAACTTGTGATCATTAGGGTGATGCTTTCATCTGTTTCTCTGAGATGAAGATTGTGCCTCCTTGGACAAATACCTTGAGCCTAACTTGTAATTTTTCAATTGCCGATAGTTGCAGTCTCCTGCTGTTTGCTGTGTTACATTAAAACATCCTGTTCATATTTCACCAGTTGACTTCATATGTTAATCCATTGACAGGCAGCATTCACTTAAACAAGGATATCTGTGATGCTCCAGAGCATTTGCGGTCCTAGACACATGATTTCACTCATTTGGCTCTTATATCTCTATTGCTGAAAATGAATGGCACCACTCAATCCAAGTTTTTAATTTCTTTGTTAGTAGCTTGAACACCAGTCTCATTTCCATTGCTGAGCGCTACATACATAACAGTAATGAAAAATAAATACTTGGAAGGGCACTTGATGTTACTTTTGTTCAACTCCTAAGGGTGGGAAGGAAATGCTCTTTAAACAGAACCAGTAGGAGCCTCCCAGAGGTAATTTTAAAAGGAAAATATTAGGAATACAGAAGATAGAAAGTGGCAATTTGTAAGCATTACAAATATGCTGGGAAGTCCTCCTGGGGGAAAAAGGCTCATTTTGTCAGCTAGAGGAGCAAACCCCAGAGTTGCTCCCAGTTGTGAAATTTCTCCTGATTCAGCAGGACAATGTCACACTGTTCAGTCATGCTAATAGCCATTGCTTTCCAGTTCCAATCCTGTTTTCCCATCATTCTTAACATAACTTTAATTTAGAATTGATAGAAAAAGCCCACCGACTTCTAACACATCAGGGGGGTCAAGCTTATGCTTACACCACGGAAAGTGTTGTAACTCTTCACACCACTAATGGCTCCATTTGGAGCAACCATAAGAGGCAAAGCCTGATTGAGCAACTTGAAAGGAGTGAGTTGTTCCGAATGCCCTTCACAGTAGGATTATATCCTAAATACATTCAAAACCTGAGGCTCTTGAATAGCTGAAGCTTGGCAGAGGATAAATACAGATAGTGGACATTCTAACAGCAATTCCAGGCTACTTCTGCCATTCCGCAGTTTGCTTACTACTGAGCTGTCCTGTGCTCAGCTCAGAGAGGGGCCTCAGCTCTCACCTGGATGGGCAACTTTCCATATTTCTTGGCAATCATTGCTGATTTTCTCCCTTTGTTTGAACAAGAGAATATTGAGAATGACAAGTATGCCCAAACTCTACCATTTCACACCATAGAACCATCCAAGTTTAACAGTGAAATGTGTGTGAAATGCTGAAGGTCATAGAAAAATGCAGACACATTCTATCTGTTAGTAGCCCAGAATAAAAGCAGCAGCCTGGCCCTACCCAATCATCCTAAGGTGATCAGGAGGCCAAGGAGAAATACAGTACATGAAGCCCTTTCCTTACTTTAGACAGTACATAGCGTTTCACCCTGAGCCACTCTTTGCACACTAGTGAGTGTTTGTGTGTGACTGTGTGTGTATGTGTGAAAGAGAGAGAATGAATCTCAAAATCTTCCAAAGCTGCAGATATACAGATAATGTCTAAGTATGAACATCTGCCCCATTGAAAAAGGGCCATGCCACTTGAAACTTTTAGGAGAAAAATTTTCATTTAAGCAAAGGACCGGTCCTCAGGCACCATCAGAACAGAATTCTGGGGTAGAAGAGCCACAGATAGACCAGAGTGGGAGGGTTCCTGAGAACTGAATTCTAGGAGTCAACACAGCGAAGTCAGGAATCTTGATTCCGGGTGTGACTGCTACCTCCTCTCCAAGGAAGGTTTGCCCAACGCCCTGGGCCGCCTCTGTGCATCTGCTCCTCTGAAATCCTAGAGAGAGCTGGGACGTGCTAAGGCTCATTTGGGGCTAAAATTCCATGATCCTGAAATCTCCAAATGGTCTCAACTCTTTGCATATGGACTGGTTTCTGAGGAATAATAATAATTATTTTAAAATAATAAAAATTATTATTTATTGTGCACTTTCTTTGTGTCAGAAACATGTATGCATTATCTCATTCTACAAGAGAAGTAGGATTATTTTCCTCATTTTGTAGATGGCAAAACTGACGTTTAAAGAAGGTAATTCCCCCAACTGAAACACCTGACAAGTGGCAAGCCAGTTATTAGTGACATTTATTGTTGATTGAGTTTGCTGTGGCATTTTATAGGATTTTGTCGTTTTTACTTTGCAGATGGAGACAGAGGCTTTGGTGACTTATTCCAGGGGTCAGCAAACTTTTTCTGTTTGGGGCCAGATAGCGATTATTTTAGACTTCCTAGGCCATACAGTCTCTGTTGCAACTTCTCAGCTCTGCTGTCATAGCCCGAAATCAGCCATAGATGACGCTTAAATGAATGAATGTCTGTGTTCCAATAAAATTTTATTTATGGATGCCAAAATTTGAGTTTCATATAATTTTCACAAGTCATGATATATTATTCTTCTTCCGATTTTGTTTCAATCACTTAAAAATGTAAAAACAACTCTTAGCTCATGGGCCACAGAAAGAGGCTGGATTTGGTCTGCGGACCATCATTTGATTTATTCCAAACTCACACGGTAGTTAGAAATGAAGAAACGGGACCTGTTAAAAAAAAAAAAAAAAATGGAGAATATTAAGCAAGAAGCAGGAGAGAACGTTAAAAAAAAACCCAAAACCACACATTTCATTAAAGTGTGCCCTCCATCTTGATGTGGGTATCTAACTGATTGATATTTACCAGACACTAATTGACTTAAGAAAAATGTTAGGATTTCCAAAAGCGTGAAGACTTGGGCCATATAATTTCCAGGACACGATCACATTCACAGTTGGTGCCAATTGTTTAAAGGCTTATGAGCCGGCCAAGTAGATTTAGCATCAATTTAGTACAATCAGCAACTAATGAAAGAGAAGTCTGGGTGGCCATAAGACAATCAGGATTGCTCATGTTGGTGTGAGGAATCATTCTGCAGGAACAACCCGTCACCTTGAGTATCAGCAACAAGCTCTACTGAGGGAGAATTACAGTAATGATATCAGCTACAACGCCAAGGGCACAGGGAAAAACAATACATACAGAACCTATTGAGACTTTATTTTTTTGCTATAGACTTTGATATCAGAGGTGATTATTCTGAATAAAATGCATGCCGGTGCTATGAGCCTCCTCTGCCTTTTCTGTCCCAATGCTCCCTTGAGTGTGACTGAGTCTGTTGAACCCAGGACGTTCTGGATCATGTGGCGCTACCTACAGGCGTAGAATAATGTCATGACCTGTATCTATTTAAGTGCTATATGCTTTTCATCCCATCTTTGTTAAGTTTCCTGTTTTTAAAAATTATAGTCAACCTTCAGTTATCCATTGCTGCAAGGTGAAGAGAAGAGGCATGCGTAAATACAGAGCCATTGGTGTCTTGATGTAAGTTCCATTAAAGTTGGATTTCATCTAAAACAGGCACACACACACACACAAATTCAGATCCACACACAGTTCATCTGCTCTGGGTCCAACCTCAATCCCCAACTCCTCCTCACAGTTAGCAGTCAAGATCATCCAGACATCGCTGGATATTTTAAAACAGGAACAATTGCTGAGATACATTTTTAATAATATTCTGCAAAAGTGTAGGATTCATATTATGTGTAGCAGTTATTTCTTATAAGTTACAGCTCTTTTGGGGAAATGGGCATATGTCTCAGAGATAAAACACTTCAAAAATAATGAAATATTGATGTATTATTTTTAGGGATCACTTTTAGACCTCGTTAGCTAGTGTTATTGACCTTATGGATGTAGTCCTATGTTAATCTGTATTCTTCATCATGAAAATCAATAATATGGACAACCACATTGTTCACATGGATTTGGGTGCAAAAAGACAGTTTGAGAGCTCACAGAAGGGCTTATTATGAGGATAATTTGGCAACTTATTCGTAATATAATGTCAGAGGTGACAATCACTGCATTTTCCATGATTTTGCTGGCCCAGCTTTTACTAGTGCCCACGTGGAAGAGATTTGGAAGTATTATGAGGTCTTTCTTGAGATATCGTACCCCTGTTCTTTCTTATTAAGATGAAAATTAAAATGGCTGATATTGCACCAAGGATGCTAAACTACATATATACATATAGATATAATGTATGAATTCTATCTGATTACATCAGGCCGCGACATTTCTGAAGTCACGGTTTTACTAAAGACTGTCCAGAGTCTTGGGATGGAGGAGTTTGTGCTTCACCTACTGAGAGGCCCATCTGATAAAACATGGTTAAGTCAACCATGTTCCGTATGTTCCTTCATCTACAACAAATGGAATCAGATCACAGCCATTCATTCACTCATTTACTCATTCATTTATTCATGTTATCATCTGTTTAGAAAATATCAAATTTCTATGTGCCAGGAATTGCACTAAACTATTTTAGCACCAAAAGATGAATAAAATGTGATCCTTGCCCTCTGAGGGTTGACAGTTCAAGCTGGGTCTCAAATCTGACAGCACCTCACTCTTGTTGGAATCTGAGAAGACCACCTTCCAGTACCACTTTTCTAGCTCTCTCTTCTGGTCTTAGGAATCTCTGCTCTGACCTATAACCTTAGAATGATATCTGAGATAGAGTCTTAAAGATATTCGAGTTTAGCACTTATTTTAAGTCATAGATTAAAATTGTTCAATCTTTGAAATTTTTTAGAGCTTTGCTTAGCTCTCTTTATTGCATTTAGTAATGATGCTGGTGGCTGCTATTAAGTGCTCGCCATGTGCCAGGAACTGTGCCAAGCCATTTACACTGCTTTGTTGAATCTGCATAAAATCCCATTAGCAGTTATGCCCACTTTATAGATAAATGAAGTGAGGCTCAGAGAGGCTAAGGAACCTGCACGTGGGCAGCTAGAGCCTTGCAACTTAAAAGTGTGATCTTTCAACCAGTAGCATCAGCCTCACTTGGGAGTTTGTTAGAAGCACAGAGTATCATTCCAGACTTACTGGTCTGCATTTTAACAAGATCTCCAGGTGATTCATATTCATGTTAAAGTTTGAGAATCAGAGCATGAGATAGTAAATGTGGATTTTAACCTAGGATAGAGCAACTCCAAAGCTCAAGTTTTTTGTTTATTTTTATCACTCAGTGTTCGTAGAATAATGGTGGCTAGGAAATCAAGGACATACATATACCTAGGAAAAATTCATATAAGGGGCAGGAACTCATATAGTAGCTCATGTCATCAGTTTTTACCAGCATGTATTCTACAAATCTAAATCGTATTAAAATAAGGAGAATCATGAAAACTTAAACAAGTAGCCTATTTGTTTTCTTTAATCCATATAATTTAAGTGTTTAATATTTGATAGGTTAATAATAAATATTTTAATACAGTATATTGCATTCAGTTAGGAATATATCAAAGGGAAATACAAAGTGAGTTCCAAAAGATAAACTTTTATTGGGCACGTGAAATAGAACATAAAATTTGATGGCAATTACCATTGAATCTGTTCATGTTTGGAAACGTATTGAAAGAGAAACTCATAACTCAGTTAATTGTTATGAATTATTAATTGCTCATTTGAAAAGCGATGAGCAGAACTGCACTTGTTGAAAAACTTTCTTTCTCAGTGGCTTTAACCTTTGTGTCATTGGTTTTATGAGAACAAAAGGGAAAGAATGACAGCAAGATTCTAATCGTCCAAAACCAGAAGGTGACAAGACAGTGAACATCTCAGTAACTATATAAAGGTTAATTGAGATTGAAATGAAATAGTCATCGCTGGCTTCACTCCAGCGTACTTAAGCGTGATTCTCTGGGGACGGGCCCAGGCATCTGCATTTCACAAAACTCTCTCGACAATCATAATACACAGCCAAGATTGAGGACTACATTTTCAATAATTATACTTCATCTGAGAAATTTAATGCAGCCGTGAATTTGACTCAGGATATTGTGAACCCCAAGTGAGATGTAAGCTGGGCTCCGGTTTGCCCCTCCTCGTTAGAATTTGAGGTAAGAGGGCCCACAACTAACGGCAGGAACGTTGCACACTGTGGGCAGCTTTATAAAGAGGAATTCCCTAGATGGCAAGAGATTTCTGATCCAAACAAGCTAAAATCAAGAGTATGTCTGGATTTAAAGATACCTGATGAAAATAGCCCCTTCCTTCTCAAAATCAATGCTATGAGTTTCTTCCATCGGATGAAAAAACAAACCTTCAAAAGTGGAAGCTTTTTTTATTAACTAAATCCAGGGATTTATTGTTTAGTGTCAGCAGCGTAACTGCTTTGTAATTGATTTTTCTGAAGAGAACTGAAAACTTAAGCCACCTTAATTTCCTTTATCTTGACACACATGATTAGCATTACTCGGAAATATATTTTACCAGGCTCCCAATTACCATTTTTTAAAATCCACTTCCTCATTGCATGCTCGCCTTGCTAAAATATTTCTAAGACAGAGAGAAAGCAAGTATATAAAGATAAAAATAGGGCTGCTTTATTCCTGTTAATAGCTTTATCTTCTTTCTTCAAAAACTTCTGTTTACCTTCAGTTGATATTTTTAAAAATGAATGGGATTATTAAAATACATTAATATCAGTCAATTTCTAAAATAGGGATAAAGAAGTAAGAACATTATGGGCAATGACAGAAATTTTAAAATAATGAAACAAAATGTAATATTTGCCACTTAGACTCAATCAAATATTCCATATGTAATGGTTACAGTCCTGCACTGTTTGTTACCCAACTTAGCCTCAGTTTGCTCACGTAAAATTAAAATAAGAATTGGACCCACCTCACTGTCTGTGAGAATTAAATAATATAATGATATTTAACCCAGTTTCTGTCACACAGTAAGGGCATACAGTGAGATAATTAAACTATAAGTGATGATACTTGCCCTCCAAGTTTCATTGACAATGGTGGAGACTGGATCAACGAATTTACGAAAGTAATCAAGTTACAAATGACATGACACAATGAAAGCTGTGAAAGTTATGGCTCCTTCCGGAAAAAAAGAAGGCTGATAAATGAATGGGGTTTAACACTTACTGTGTCACTTTTTGTGATTATTTCAAGTTATAATTGCCATCTGTAAATGCAAAATTTTAGTTAAGATTTGGTCTAAAACCAGTGCCTTTTAGTTTTGCAGCTTCCAAATAGGGAAATAAAGCCCGTAATAAACTTTTATCCATTAAATTCACCCTAACCTTAGCAGCACGTCTTCATCAATTTTAGGATCATCCTAAATCCTGGAAATTACCCTGTAATGCTAAAATGCCTGCCCAGTAGCTGCGTCTAGAATTGTGGTGACCTCTTAACAAACCAAAAGCTAGACTGGGTCCTGTGCCTGGACATAAACTAATTTCTCAGGAATGATGACTGGTCAGTTACAGTCCATTGAGTCACCATCAGACCAATTGGATGCTAGACTACTTTCAACTTAGTGACTGTTGACACCCTTAGGGACTTATACGTCAGAAATGCATTCAACTCTCGCTCTCTCTCTTTTTTTTTTTCCAGAATTCCTCAGGAGACTTTCCACAGGGTTATTTGGCTTATCCTTAGCAACTTCATGATATGGGCTATTTTTCAGCAGGTTTAAGATTTCTCTCCTTACACAAAAAAGATACTCAAATTGAGACTCTTACTTTGAGGAGAATAAGGATGTTTATTTCTGTAGGAGATTAAAAAAATAATGACACGAGTAACAATTTCACCACGTGTCACACTGCCCTTGAAGAAGCAAGCCTTCATTTTTGTGGTGAACCAACAGGCATTGAGGAACAGAGGATAAGTTAATACTTTCACAGCCTTAACCATGTCACTATAAAATGTGAAAATGAGAGGGGTTGGCCTGGTGGCACAGTGGTTAAGTTCGCGTGCTCTGCTTCGGCCGCCTGGGGTTCTCTGGTTCAGATCCCAGGCATGGACCTATGCACCACTTGTCAAGCCATGCTGTGGCAGGCATCCCACATATAAAGTAGAGGAAGATGGGCACAGATATTAGCTCAGGGCCAATCTTCCTCAAAAAAATAAAAAGTGAAAATGAGAAGGAAATATAACCTCCAAAGAGTAAGGAGAATGTGAGAGAGGTATGACTGTCACTAGCAGCAGACATACAGGGGACTCATTGTCAGGGTCAGCCAACCTTAGTTTAGTCTGTGCATTGGAATTCTGCTGTCCCGCTGCACACTATACTGGCGTATTACTTTACATTTTAACATGAATGTCCTAGTTGCTGCAACTGTATATTGAATGAAGAATCCTCAGAGGAGAGGGAAATGGTATGAGAAGTACTACTTTGAAGGAGCCCAGCGGGAGGAGAGACCCTGGGTTGAAGGATTCATTAATAAATAACCAAAACATTTCTTGACCATTTGCTGTGAACTCTGCAACATGAGTTAAAAGAGAAAAAGAAAATGTTTAATACAGCCTCTGCCCTCAACGAGGTTACCAAACTTAGGAAGGTGGGAATAAAGCTCATAAAATCATAGATTGAAACATAGTTTCCTGTCCAGAGTACTTGGGGTCCTCCTAATGGCTCTGGTTGTAAAAGGAAGCTGGAAACTATTGTGTGTCGACTCTGGCTGAGTAGCTCTTGTATAGTGGTTAGAATCCTGGCTCTGCCTCTTACTGTGTGTCTTGTTGAGCAGATTTTATAACCTCTCTAACCTAAGATTCCAGTTTTCTAAAAAAGAGATGGCTCCATGTCATAGAGTAGTGAGGGAATTAAATGAAATGCTGTAAACTACTGAGCACAATTCCTGGGGCATCACAAGCTCTATAATTGATCACGGTTATTGATATTGCCCTTCTATAAGCAAACGCCAGTAGGTAACAGAAAGCCTTGATGAAGAGCTTGAAAGGATTTGCAACTGTCAATGAGTCATTAAACCTGTAAATGGAGATCCCAATCAGAAATGTTGGTTTTTAAGCAATATTTGACAAGACAACTAATTATGTGTGTCCAGAAGCCATCAGGGGAAGGTGGAAAGTCTCTGGTGGTGGATAGAGACCTTAATATGAATTCCCTGATGTTCTGAAATTCAATGAGCGATGAAGCATAGGTAAGATAAGGAATTTAAAGTCCTTCCTATACTCAGAAGGTACCTGACATCACAGATCTGCTCCCCTGGTCCGAGGGAGGTGACTAACATCTGAGGAGTGCCAGAGTCTCCGGTCCTCTGGGAGAGAGGATGGAACTTCCTTTCACTGTGACTCATTTCCCTGCCACTAGTTTATTGTCTCAAAACAATGGTTAGTGTTAGCCATTTATGTGGTAGAAGAAAGGGTTCTCTGGCATCCAATTTCAGGTTAGAATTTTATTATTTTGTACAACAGCACAGTCAATCTCAAGTCTGTTAATAAATCTGAAGGTAAATGTAGTCTTTTATTTCTCTTTAATCAAGAAGGCAAGGTACTACCTGTTCCCAGCTCCAAATTTAACATTAGTACAGAAAATAACATTCCTTTAGAGCATTGATTTCTGTCTAAAACTTCACCCAGAAACTGACAGTCAAAAAGGACACTGCAAACACATTTCTTTTCAAGAGAAGACAGGAGTTCACTGGGGATCTTTTCTTTCCCTCAGCTGGTACCTAGTTTCCAGCAACAAGAGTATGCATTACTCACTGCAGAGTGTTTGAAAACACAACTAGTGATCATGACTAAAATCCCCAGGTGGGCTTTTCAGTCCAGCATAAGTCCAATTCTTTTCCTCCAATTTACTGAGGATTTTCCTGCTGACTTTGTCTCTCCTTTCAAACTGCCATGCCTTTAATAAATAGGAAAGATGAATATCGTTTAGGGAAATATACTGGAGTCTTACAAATAAATACATCCACTTTCTAATCACTTCATAAATTAAATTGCATTCCAAAATATTTCAGTAATAAACATGTCATGTGCCATAAGTCTGCTTGGACATTTCACACATATTATTTTATTTACTCTCCCTAATAACCTTGCAAGGAAGTGCTAGTATACCCATCTTACAGATGAGGAAACTGAGGCTCAGAGAGTCTAATTTGTTCAAAACAAACAACTAGTCAGTGATAGAGCTGTTATAAAACCAAGATATAGATCTGACTCCTTGCCCCGTATGCCACACAAACCCATCGTGATGAGTCCGAAATAGATGTATTTTTAATCCGAATCCTCCTTGCGAGCCAGGAGGGTAATAGGAGCTTGCAGTGTTCTAGTCTTGGACTACAGCCCAGCTCCAGGATCAGTTTGCTTTCAGTGAGGTGGAAACAAGCCTCAGTACTCATTCATAGGAATTCCATGAGCACAAACACCACCACACAACAGAGATAGAGCCTTCTGGATACAAACACGCATCGACTGACAAAAGTTACCAACTCTCTCTCACTATCACTTTATCATCTGCCAACAGGAGCAAATGTTTATTCACTGCCCTCTATGTGCAGTGAATTTATTTCTCAGACTCAACAACTAGTCCGCCCATGCTCACCTGGAACAAGCAGGTGCTGCTCTCAGGTTCCCAGCTCACAAGTTTGATACTTCGATGCATGCAGAGGAGAGGCACTGCTGTAATGTATGAACACTGTGGAGAGACAGCATCTGCATATTCACATGGGCCTAGGATGTTAAGAGAAAGAACGGGCTGTCATTCAAAAGATGCCAATCATGCAATTCAAGCCAAAAATGCTGTGTCTTTTCCCACCGAAAAATCACCCAGACTAGTCATGAAAATATTTTCTGACCAATTCCTCAAGCCTGTCAAAAGTTCAAATAAATAGACATCAAACTGTGGCCCAATTAGTAGACCCTATGTCACTTCAAAATACCCCAAAGAAGGAAACAGCGTACATAAACAGCTACCACTTGTTTAGTCACTGGATCATATATGACAAAAGAGATTGTCGTGTTCCAATATCATCACCCTGGCAAGCACTTTGCATCGTCTTATTTAATCTTCACAGCATCCGTAAGATATTGCTTTCTGCGCTTTACAGATAAGGAAACGACGACATGGAGTGGTGAAATGAATTATCTAAGGTCACAAAATTAGAAGAGAGAAGAATGAGGTTCAAACCCAGCTCACACCAATGTATATTCATTGTTCAGGTGCTGTACACAGAGCGGTGAGCTGCAGCAGCTCAGTGGTGAGTCTTATTGGGAAGCCAGGGAGAGAAGGGAGATGTAATGAGGAAGACTCGAACATCAGACACTTGCATGAGGATTTTTGGAAGCCAGTATACTAAGTCGTTATTCACAGTGTTGTCCATTAGCCTAGTGTGGCAGTTCCCAGGATCAAATGAAATGGAATGTTGGATGCTGGAAACAGGAAAGTACCCATCTTCTCTAAAGCAACAGGCTTATTCTTCAACAGCTGTGTTAATGCTTGTGAAAAGTAATGCATGCCTGATTCACGCTAGGGCCCAATATTCTCAGCCAGGCAGGCAACTACAAAGTGGCTGTGCCGTGCAGCGGTGTGGTGAAATGGAGAGTAACTGCTGTTGCGCTGCAGCCATTCCTGTGAAATGAGGTGACAGCACTGGATGGCGGGGCAAGGACAATCCGTGGACAAGCCTTTATTACAGTAGCAACTCTCCTGATGTCATGTCAATACTACATGGTCAGGCCCCCTCTGTTGCCCTGGAGACAGGAATGGCAGGAATTCTCTTCATCATCTAATCATTAGCTGCTGATGGCAGACACACTGTCTCAGCTCTCGTGTCCTGTGCCCGTCATCCTTTCTGGAAGAGTGTATGAGGAGAAGTGAAGATGGCTACCTATAGTAGCTGCAAATGCTATAAATAGAATCTTTGAAAACATGGGTAAGTGTCACAGAACAGTCCCCAGTGAGGTTCACTTTCTGGAAAGATGCACCCATTTCTAGAAGGGATAAGAATATTCCCCAGGCCATAACCCAGTGACCCATCATAATGGGAGACAGATCATTTCCTCTTAAAATCTGAAACCATCTTCTGAACAGGGAGATGAGCAATGAAGGACAAAGGAAATGAAACAGGGTGGCGGAAGGCATCCTGGAATCACTTGAAGCTTTAATTGGAGTGAATGGATCTGCTTACAGTAAGTAGTAAGGCAATAGGGTGGCCCACAGGAAGCCTTGATGCCCTCTGTGGGCTGGTCTGTTAGGTCATAGGTTCACTTGGCTGTGAGCTTCCTGGGTTTAACAAAGTGAAAACACCAAGCAGGTGTCTCTATCCCCGCTTTCAAACTTTAGGAGAGTGGGATTCGGACACAATGGGCACAAGCAAGTTCTCCCTCACCCAGACTGGCTTTGGAATCTGTTGTAGGTCCACGTCTAATCCGGGGGACCCTGATAGCATAGGATCACTCTCGGTCAAGTGAATCAGCCAAACCTGTCTGAGAGCTCCCACCAGAAGCAAGTGGACCCACCAAGGGGCCCAGCCCACTTGCTTACTGGGATACCTAGCTGGATTCTGGAATAGCCTTTGATGTGGCTGAAGATACCACACTGCTCTTCCTTTAATCCTTACTCCCAAAATTGATTCAAGTATCTGGTACAACCAGGAAACCCTATCATCCAGAGTTAGAGGTTTCATTTGATTTTATATTGATCTGCGAATACCTTTGTCTGGCTACACATTGCAACGCTGTTGCTTACATACATGATGCAAGACTTTAGTGCCCCAGTTGGATGACATTTGTGCTCTGATGTACCCATTAGCTGTCAGAAACTCTACCATGACACCATTCTCCGTAAGCCCACACTGGAATGCTAGGTCTCAGGTCCATGGAATTACACATTTGGAGTATTGTGTCATATAACTCAATGTACAGATGAATTAATAATTCTTCTGCAGAAATTCTACATACAACACCATCCATACATTTAAGAAATGACTTCCTTTTTGTTCTGTCATGAATCTAATTACTGGCACATCTAAGTTATATTATTTGAAGAAAATACAAATCTCAAGCCTTAGGCTTGTGTGGCTATCGTAATCCTTTTTGTGCTGCTTTAGATGTGTCCACATAGAATTGTTCTAGCATTTTCTCCTCCATTAGAAAAGCGTTCTTGGAGAGAAATAAAGGCCAGCAGGCAGCATCCAAATTGGAAGGAAACACCATACACCTATCACTCAGCTTATTTTCCAATGTGAATTTCTGGTTCTTTTGGTACCAAATTCCCAATCCAAGACTTTAACTACAAAGAGCAGCACATATTCGGAAAAGTCTGGAAGCAACGTGTTCTAATTCCATTTGCACATTTCACACTTACCCCTGTGCCTGGCACTCCACTCTCAGTGCTGTAGAGACATAGATATGAGCTCTCATCTAAAGTGGTTACATTGAATGTGCTATGCTCAACTAACAGACAACTTGGCAATATTGTTTTGTGTCGTGTTTAATTATGACATACATGTGTCTATCAGATATTCATGTAATGTTCTAAAAGGCAAATAGGTATTTTGCTTTGGGGTTTATCTAACAATAATTTATTTTTTATTAAGTTTTTTGTAAGAAGAAAATTGCAGCATTCTTTTATAAATATTACAGTCTGAATCATACATAAGCTGCCAGAGTAAATTATTTATATAGTAGACTTATGAGTTCATAGTGAGAGGATGTGTTCACCTCCTAAAGTATTAGAAAATTATGATTCTAATAGTTTGCTGTAATATCTAAGAAGCAGAACATTCATGTCTTGGCTTTTTTTGTTATGAGTAGTGTAAGGGAATTTTTCTGAAGACTTTTTTTTTTTCATTTATATGTCCCAGACTCACTAGTTAGAGATATGAGAAAATGAGCCCATCCTCAGGACGGTATGTTTTTATCCTGAATATTCGAGGAAAAGGCTCAGTTTCCCATTAAAAGTTCATCTCATTTGCTTTAATAGCCCAAATGCAGATATATTCAATTCCGACATGTTCTCATCTTAAAGTTTGGGAGTGTTATCCACCATATGTCTAATGTCAAATATTAAAAAACACAGCACAATAAAAAACTAGTTCAAATCCCCTTACTTTCAATCTATTAGTCAGATTAATGGAGATGACACATTAGTTGCACTGCTACCACTCTCTTGCGGCAATCTGCTAAAATTAGGAGCTGCCAATCTGGGGGAAGCGAAAGAACTCTCTATCATTTTAAATTTAACTTCAGCCTACTCTGAAGCCATTAGAGACGATTAAAGGAGATCTCTAGCCATTATATTCAGCCCAGTAGTCTTAAAGTTCAAAAGGTAAAAAGTACTTTTGCCATAAAGAAACTGAGAGGCAAAATTATTTTCAATGAAGTTCCAATTTCAGTGAAAATAAAGTAGGTAATTACATTGGTTATTACCGAGGTCACTGCCTTCATTGACTACCTGGCTTAAAACTAAAAACTAGGTCTCATTTGTGACATGGACAAAAATGAGCAAAGTGTCCACAGCTTCCTTTTTAAAGACCTGCAAATTCAGTTAATTCACATATTAACAGTCTTCATGAAACAATTACTGAAAAACTTGCCTGATGGCCTTTTTGAAGCTGAACAACCCAGGAAGTAAATAAGCATGTAATGTCTTACCATTGTCATTGCTATAGTTACAGTTTTCCATATGCTTGATCCTTGCGTAATATTTTTACAGGCCGAAAACTAGTGGGTCAAATGTATCATTTCAATTTCCATGGTTTTTCTACATATGGAATTGTATTTGTTGGATGTAAACTTCATTTTCAAGTTGGAAATGTTGTAGTTTAATTTTTCTCTAATTTTTTTTCTACTTCTCACAATCAGACAGCATCAAAACAGTTTAGGAAGTTGGACGAATGCTATTTTAAAGTCTTTTTCAGTGCATGTTCTTCATTTTATTTATTTATTATTAATCTCTTTTACCTCTGAAAAGTATAATTTTTGGATTTTTATATAGCATTGGTTTGCACTGTCTGTTACTACCTGAAGTGTATCAAGGAGAAAAAAGAGAAATTCGTTGTTTTTTTCTTTGGCAACTTTGCAAAGACTTAGAAACAGTGTTCAAGAAGAGAGAAATAGAAATTGCACTAATTTAGTTTGAGTTGTAAACCTAGGAGAACTTTCTTCCTTTATCCTTTGTAAAACGCAGGGTCTGCTGTGCTGTCTTTTGTTTTCCTACCGCGGAGGCCACTAGCTTCAGTTTATGCCCTTCATTCCGCCTCAAAATAAAATACATACTTTCTGAGGATCCCATTCTCCGCATTCCTTGCTGTTAGACAGTCTTTGAAAATACCCTCGCCATATACATAGATGTCTGCCTAAAAAAAGGAAAGGGAAGGTGAGGGCAGGAGCAAGGCAGGAGTAGAAAATAAGTCACCAAGAGAAAAAACTGTATTTTCAATTTGAGGTTATTTCTGTTCAGTCAAGTCTTTTGAAATTATTCGCAGTAAAGATTAATGATTCCTTACAGGTAGGGGTAGGCCTAGCATCCCCACTAGTTCCTCCTGACAAAATCCATTAGGCATTGATGCTCGCAGGAAGCCAGCAGGGGAGAGTTTGTTAAAAACACCTTGGGAAGGGAGCACTTTAACCAAGAGCCTGGCACAAAGGAGCTGTTCCAACAGACGGTTTGGGAATGTTGAAGAAAAGTGTTCATAGCAGCATTTTCAGACACAGCCAACCGGGCGCTCTCAGAGCAAATTATTTGCTTGTGGATTTACCAGTGGGAGATTTTAAATCACAAATCAGTATCCCTTCTCCCCAACTGGCCAGATATACACTGAGGGAGTGCAAATGAATTGATGAGTTAAAGGGCAATTGTGGCTCATCTTTTCTGATTTCCCTCTTTGTTCTTTTCTGTTTCTTGAGAACATTGAAAGTAGAAAACAATTTGCTTTGCCAGGAGAGAAAGCCCTCAAAAAACAGTTCTCGGCACAATGACTGTGCAGGCTGAGAGGCATCTCAGAGTCACAGATGGCTAGTCCTGGTTCTTGTAGTGACACTCATCTCATGCCCCAGTGCCATGCAGCTAAGCTGTGCCCCTGCACAGGGCCGGGCTGACAGTTCGCCGTGAGCGCACCCTCGGGTCATTAGCAGCCTTTCTTACCGTGACGTCACTTTCGGCTCTTTTTACTCAGAAAGAGGTGAGCTGGTCATATTTTATCAGGCAGGGCAGATTTTACAATTTGGAATAACTTTGGCAATTAAATCTCACCAAGAAATTCAATAGTTTCTGTTTGGGATATGAAATTACTTCCTCTATGGCCCATGGTTTAATATTGACTTCCTAAGAATATTTATATTCCTAGCATCTTAGCTACACCGCTGGGGGAAAAGGCAGTTCTGTTAAAATAATAGCTGTAATTATTTGATAGGTTCTTTTTTTGACAGCAGTACATCCTTCAGCTTTCACTTTTATACCAAACTAGAAATTAGGGGTAACTTGGCTGTGGAAACCGATGCTGGAAACTGTCCATCCGTCACAAGGAATGATCCTTTCTCGGAGGGGAATTTTCTGCTGGATTGCCAAGCGCATAATATTCCCCCGGAGCGAGGCTGCATAAAACAATACTGCTGTGACACATCCATGATATGTAACTCTAGAGGGTCTGGCAGCCCAATGCACTGGGGTGCTAATTGTGTTCTATAGTTATCATCGCGTCTTAAAGCCCAGAAGGTCAGAAGAGTTTATCTAATCCTGGGGTAGAAGAGCAATTAAAATCCATCCCAGCCAGGAAAGTTTCCGGGAAATCCATTATACCTGCTCTATTTTTAGGCCTATAAAGGAAGGATGCTGAGTGAAACAAGCCATAGAAGCCTTCAGTTTATTCAATAAATGTATATTGAGCATGAATTCCATGCCAGGCGCTGTTCTGGATACTGAGGATGAGGTGGTAAGAAGATAAACAGAGATCCGGCTCTCAAGAGCTCACATGCTGATGGGGGCCCGGTGGGAAACAAGTAAAGGAATAAACCAGTGAGTGGAGGCCACTTTAGGTCAGTAGTCAGCAAAGGCCTTTCTAAGAAGGTAATACTTCAGCTGAGAGCCTAATGTCAAGGAACAGCCCACCGTGGAAAGTTCTGGAAGATGAGTATTCAAGGCAGAGAAAACACCTCCTGCAAAAGCCAGAAGGCAGGAAGGAGCTCGGCCAGTTCAGAAAGTGGAAAGAAACAGGTGTGGCTGGAGCATGGTGAGTAAGATGAGGTAGGAGAGGGAGCTAGACTGGCGCCAGATCACTGATCTTGAAGACCAGGACAAGATTTTAAGTGCAATAAACATTAAGCAAGAGAGTGGTATGATATGGGGGCCTTAAATTTAAAAGCAGTAATTCTGGCTGCTGTGCGGCCAATGGATTGTAGAGGGGACAAGTGGGGGAGGGCAAGATTGGAACTAACAAGACCGCAGTAGTCCGGGGGAGAGGTGTTAGTGGCTTGGACTAGGTTGGGAGCAAAGCATGTAATGAAAATGGATGAATTCAGGACTGTGCCTGCCTTTGCTGAGAAACTCAGTATTAATTCTAAATTTTGAGGTGGTCTGCAACAGAGATGTGCTTTCTCTGTTTTCTATTGCCCTCTCTACATGGATGCCACGTAATTGATTAGTACTTGATTCTGTTTGGTAGAGAAGGGAGCAGAAGGGCAAAAGTAGTAGCAGTCACAGCATTCCAGCATTTGGACGTAGAACATAGCAATCAGACAGAATAACAAAGTGATTAAGCCCACAGAACTCGGTGGGACCGCAGGCTCTGCCACCACTACCTGTGTGACCTTAGACAGGTTATTTGCCTTCTGAGTCTTGGTTTTTAAATCTATAAAACTGTTGGGATACGAGTACCTACTTTACAAGATTGTTAAGATGATTAAATAAGTTAATGCATGAAAAGCACTTAGAATAATGCCTGGTACAGACTAAGTCCTCAATAAATAAATAAATGTTAGCTTTTGTTATTATTATTCTGAATAATAATAATGGGAGTTTGACTGGAATCCCCCCAAAAGTGACACATTTAATGACATATCAACATGCACTTTTCCTTTTAGTTACCAAACAGGAAGAGAGACTGTGTGGGAAATTCTTTTACTTTTTTTTTTTTTTTTGAATCTCTTTAAGAAGAAATAACATTTAAGAAGCTCTTGCTACTTGCCAGGTGTTTTGTAGACAATTGTATCTCATTTAGACTTCTCTGTAATTAATATAGTTGCCATTTACTGGTAAGCTTTTTATAGTCTGTATCCATTTTCATCTTCAAATTACCCTACTGGGAAAACATGTTGTGCCTGTTGTACAGATGTGGAAGCTGAGGTTCAGGAAGGTTCCTTGCCTGCCAAGGTCCCACAGCTAGTGAGTTGGGAGCCAAGATTTGACCCAGATCTGTATGACTTCACAGCCTTTGCTCTTTTTAAAGAGTGGTTTAGAGAGAAATTATACCAGGCCACTTCCTCTTGTCTCAGATCCATCATTAAACAGACCAAGAAACTAGGTTTCTCTCCTCCCTTCCCCCATGCCAACTCAGTTCTTCATTTGCACTTTCACTGATTTCTAATCAAGAATGTTCTGAGCTTGATTCCTAGCCTGGGTAGCATGTATTGATAATGCATTTTGATGTCATTAGGCAAGTACCCATCATTAACATGAATTTGTTACGTGCGTCTTAGGAAAATTAACTGATGAAGGTGGGAAATCACTGAAAATTCTTTACTTTTTCACGTGGTTATTCAATCTTTTCCCATTATTCTCACATTATTGCTCTTGGCAATTGAGTTAAGGATCTATTGATGTTAGCATTGTAAAATAAATCTATATCATGTAGTTTATAACTTGGTCATACAAATTCATTTATCTTGAAATTTTGGCATGATTCCTCTTTACTGACTGAATTTTTATAAACTTTCCTCTTATTAGTTATGTAGTCCTAGAAAAAATAACATGCAATTTCAGTTCGTGGTACCTTTATTTGTTTTTTACACTTGTTCCCACAAAATAAAATT